TAAGGAATAAACGGATAGTCAAAATTCGTTAGAGGACGGTGAAGATGAAGAAGGCGAAATCATGGATAAAAATGGAAATCTCCAAAATTTGAATGAACAAGACTTTAACTCTGAAGTACATGAATCGGCGGTATGGAAATTAAAAACTAAAATAACTATGTAAATTCGATATCTAATAGATTGTTTATAATTCAATTTTGATAAATTCTAGATGTTGTCATACCTAGCGTAGATGATTGTGGACGAGAATATAATTATTACAGTTTACACAAGAGAGGTGTGTTAAAGTGAATTTAATTGCATTAAGAGAAGTCGACCTTAATATTTTGCATAGTTGCCATTTAGAATCTTAGAAAAATTAGAAAATCAATCGTAATTGTTTTCTTAATTGCTACAACCTTTGATAATTAAATTATAATTATAATATGCTAACAGTGGTGGAAAAGACGTAGATGATACTATATTAGACTATGAAGAAGCTATTATCATGATGCAGAAGATCCGAAAGCTGGTAGTACAGACGTTCTAGTTCTATTGGTAAATGAAATGGCAATGCGAAAACTATAAAATAAATCTAAGGCTTTCTGGAATAGTTCAAAATTTTTACAATTGTGTCTTTCGATGGTCTTAGCGCTAACTGCGTTCCATGATCTTATTTTATCTTAGAATAATCTTATGGTAAGTGGTCGTATAGATGTTAATTTAAAGTAGATAGAGCATTACATTATAATACCAGAATCGAATGTATTTTGCAGCAAAAGATCCGGCTAATTTTTGGACCAAAAAGATCATACATAAATACATCGCTTTTTATTCTTAAACTATTCCAGAATCTCTTGGATAAATAGTGGCGGTGTAATAGACCAAAATATTAAAAAATATTAAAACTATCAATACTGTTGATTTCTGCCTCAGATTTATTCAGTTGCACTTGTTCATGTTAGTTTCTACACGCGTAACTTCACGACAGCTTCCACGCTAATCTACTAGTAACTACCACACTGCACCTAGTTATTCTCTACAATAAATATCTCTCTTTCTCTTAACACCTCAAATCATTATTGTGAAATGCCTAAGAAGTCCACGTCCACCGATTCTTCCAGCCCTTCATCATTAAAGGATAAAATTGTACGATTAAATACGCCAAGCAAGTGGAGAAAAAGAAAGCAAAAGTGTCCATTTTGAGCCATGCTTGTTCAATCTTAACACTGTTCCAAATAGTAGACGATAATGCATACAAAACGCTATCTCAAGCTAGAGCCAATCCCGCTATCATAGCAAGCACCATCCAGTCTCCATTCTTGTGCTGTATAACCATGATTTGTAGCCGAAAAAGCTAATCGGTAGACTGGAAAATCCCATCATACAGAGGATAGTACCACATTGCAGATGGTGGTCCTGATCGCAGTCTGTCTCTGCGGTATTTGGTCTCTCTCACTCTCTCTCTCTATACTTTCTGGATTATAGGGCAAGCTGTGAAAAGCATCTACGTCAACAAAGTCAATAGTAAAGGTAAATTTCGCTTCAAGAGAGAAGTAAGAGAAATGGCAAGTGTAGGCGCTAGCAACCACAATCCTTCATCATCGTATCAGTGGGATCCTACTCTAGATAAAGCCAATGATGAAAAGCCCAAGCATACGTGTGTCCTACGGATTAAAAGGTATTGATGATGGATAGGTACTACACCAAAACGGCAAGAGGTAGACAGTTTAGCGTTGACAAGAGATCACCCATCATTCCTTGATTTCTCCTCGATCAGGCAGTCTGTTAAGTTTGAAAAGTATTAGTACTGTAGCCCAATGAAATTGCAGTAGTCTTATTCGTTGCTAAGGGAGACGATCTAAATTCGAGAGGTTTTTGATGTCTCATCTCTCTGATCGAAATCGATCGATCAACGATACTGAGTTGTACTCTTCAATACTATCCCAATCCGATTGCATCAATCAATCCATTCCTTCTAGGGTAATCAACTCTGTAGATCATATTATATTATTATTTCCTACCATCGTCCAATGACGATGGCCACTGTAGATCTAAACCCTAGACGTTTATTACCTCTCTGATCGAAATTGATAGATCAACGATTCTGAATTGCACTCTTCAATACTATCCCAATCCGATTGCATCAATCAATCCATTCCTTCTAGGGTAATCAACTCTGTAGATCATATTATATTATTATTTCCTACCATCGTCCAATGATGATGGCCACAGTAGATCTAAACTCTAGACGTTTTTTACCTCTCTGATCGAAATTAATAGATCAACGATTCTGAATTGTACTCTTCAATACTATCTCAATCCGATTGCATCAATCAATCAATCAATCCATTCCTTTTAGGGTAATCAACTCTGTAGATCAATTATATTATTACTATTTCCTATCATCGTCCATGACGATGGCCGCAGTAGATCTAAACCCTAGACGTTTTTGACCGCTCTGATCGAAATCGAAGGATCCACGATACTGAGTTGTATCGTGTAATGCTATCCGGTTGCATCAATCAATCCATTCTTGCTAGAATAATCGACTCTCATAAAGGTCAATTAATATTTCCCACCATCGTCCAGGACGATGGCCACAGTAGATCCAAACCCTAGAGGTTTTACCTCTCTGATCGAAATCGATGGATCAACGATGCTGAATTGTATCGTTCAATATCCTATCCCAATCTAATTGTATCAATCAATCCACTCCTACTAGGGTTAAATACACTACTCTAGAGATCAATTTTAATTTCCTACCATCGTCCGTAACGATAGCCACAGTAAATTAATTCATATTCTCAGTCTTTAGCGTCAGCTTGAGATTGGAATAGGTCAAAAAGAGATCATGATCAAGGGTGTAGCATTGATGAACTGGCAAGTTCTCTTCTACAGTAAAGTGATCCCAATTCTACGATTGAATACACTGTCTTACTATCCAATCTGATAACTAGGCTTTGTCCATTTTTTTTTTATAGTATTAGATAGAGGAGTAATAGGCTATGTCTGATCGAAGATAATACTCAACGATCCATATCATACAATTTGTTTGCAGCCTTACGTCATGGAATACACATTTAGCAGTCCCTGATACCCACTTCGTCGATAGAATAGCGAAATGTCTTCAGAAACAGGATGGTCAACACTATCGATTGATTGCCGTCTATCATTTTGCTAATAGTACGTGTTGATAGGGGAATGCAATTTTAAAATGCTTCTCCTTCTGTTCATGAGAAATGACTGTAGTCTAAAGTAAGCTGAACTAAACCAAATGTTATAGATGCTAGAGTTGCCGACTAAGTTTACATTTGCTAAGTTTGAACGTTGACTGCTTTCTCAACAGCTGCTCGATCTAGTGGCTAGTTTTAACACAGTACAGTAATATACTAGTCGAATTAGTCATGATACTTCGTCTACTATACTCGTACTTTTTGACTTTACCTTATCACTGTCAGCCTGGCAATCTATCATCATACGAGTATGCTTAATCAGATTCTATCGTCTTAACAGACACACAGTAAATTCTCGGTTCATTACACGATTTGGATAGAATGATTCTGTAGTAACGTACATGGGTGGTAATTCGACAAGGCAACATTTGCAATAGAGATTACAATTCATTTATTGAATTACTATGCCTATCGACTGTAAGGGCGCAATATCGTCCGACCATTTCTCCTTTTATTTCTTTTCTGGACAACTGTACTACTGGAAAAGCAAGAAGCTTTTGCCGAAAAGCATCTTACACTGCAATGGCCCAATACGGCAAAACTTGTATCTTTTACGCTATCGGTTTAATAGCTATATCATCAATGTGTATTCTACTGTAATGCATACTATTGCTCAGAAATGAAAATCATACAAATCCAATCATGAGCCTGATCAACTTTCATTGATCACGCTGATGACTTTCAATCATGATGATACCTTTCTGCTTGTATGTTGATGGATTTTAGAGATTTAGCAGCGATATTGACGGATCCACCTCCCGGAATGTTTATTGTACCGGATGACGACGATATTACGAAGGTAACCAACTGTCCTCTATTGCCTATCATTACCGCTAATGGTGTTTACTCTATCGTAATATCAATACAATATTCTATAAGCAATGATGCTAGTCCAAGATATAAATAAAGGCTTTTATCATAGTGTATCATTTATCTGTAACATATTACTTTATCTTGGCAATATAGTGTAACCAGTGTGAAAATAGGATACTTACAATTTGATTCTTAGGATTAACTTACGCGTATGTTAATCCCATTTTGATACGCAATGCACGCGAATAAATTACTCTGAAAGCCTTCTACGTCCAAATGTTGACTAATTTCGATTCAATTTCACCGTATTTGTGTTATGTCATGAATGAATATATTGTAGATAAAGAGAAAAAATATACTGAGTGTCCTTGCTGCCGTGTTATTATGGCAAACGACTGTATACTGCATATAAAACACTAATTTAGCCTACATTAAATTGTTTTATATATATATATATATATACCATTTTCTATTTATGACTTAGATGCACGCTTTAATCCTTGGACCTTTCGATACACCTTATGAAGGCGGATTCTTTTATTTCTTCCTAAAATTTCCAGTGACTTATCCCATCGAACCACCCAAAGTAAAACTGATGACCACTGGTGAAGGCTTAGTACGATTTAATCCCAACTTTTACAAAAATGGCAAAGTCTGCTTGAGTATTTTAGGGTAATTTAATGACACAGAGAAATTATTGATTCATAATGATATTAACATTCAACATGACATGACGTAAAAATTCAAAGTGCTGGTTTATACCCGTTTACTAATTATATCATTAAAATAGAACATGGCTTGGACCGCAATGGAAGCCGACACAAACTTTATCCAGTGTTCTTATGTCAATACAATCACTAATGAATGCAAGACCATATCATAACGAACCAGGATACGAAAATGTGAGTAGCGCGATACCATATACAAGTGAATTTAGTATTTAATGTGACGAGCTTAGATTTAAAATTATTGCCAGAAAAAATAGCTTCACTTTTAATGAAGATACAAATCGTACTAAAGAATAAGCGTTGATTGAAATTACTGCATAGATTGCTGTATATTGATTAGCCATCGTTTACTTATTGGTAGGAACGTCGTCAAGGTGATAGTCATCGATACAACGAATGTATTCGACATGAAACACTACGAGTAGCAGTTTGCGATATGATGGAAGAAAAAGTTGATTGCCCTACTCAACTAAGGTTAATTGAAAATAGCTTTTCGATAACTTACATAGTAAAGATCTAACGTATATTCACTATTTATACCTGCAGTATTGATCTTGTCATCTTCATATTGAAAAGATAGCATTTTTAAATACAATCCAATTTCTGCTTAGTTTCTACTACTGCTCCCTTCAATGCAAATAGTATGTATAACATTGGCAATTTTAAATTTTTAGCGTAGTCTCAGGCGGTTAAATTTATATTGAGCCACAAGGAATTAAAGTGTGCAATACCGCTTGGACGTTATCGCAACAGAAAGAGCATTAAAAATAGAATTAAAACTGCTACTATGTCGTCAATTTTATTCGCTTTAAAGAAAATCGTAGGTTCTCAAGGAGTTAGACTGTAAAGACGTCCATCACTAACTAACCAACTACTTTCATAGCAGGCATTAAGCCATAAAATTTCATCGTCATACGTCATAATACGCGACGTTGTCATTGATTTCACTCTTTTAGTAACAATTTAAGTATTTGAAATTACTCAATCTTCTAACAATCTCCCAAACTCTTCTGTTGTATAGACATTGTTGTTGGTGTAACAGCAATCACATTTTCAAAGTCTTTTCAGATCATATTCGAAAGCCTAAGCTATTGAATATAATTTCTTATAGAAATGTTATGATAGAAAATTTTAAACTATTCTACCCGCAATATAACTCTTTGGCAAGCGATCGTATATGTTTAGATGGCTCTCAAATGCAGGTAAATTTCAAATGAACTAGAGTAATCTTATTGTTGCAAAATATTGCTTAACTTCTGGAATAATTTCAGACTACTATCGTAAGCATATTATAGCTACTTATTTAACTTTTGATAGTCTTTATCCATTTATCATCAATTAAGAATTTTCCTATTCTGTATGCCGCGTATTACCATTCATCTATTAATAGATTTTCTATGAACCTGATTTACAATTTGATTTTAGGACCCATTTATGCAAAATACTGGAACTTTCAATTATCAAAAAATTTTGTCTCGCCTTACAAATTTAAACGCAACGTACCAGTGACCAACAAACTCCGATATGATTGTAATGATACTGTAACTGCACGATTAGGATTACGAGATTAATTTATTAGCCATACATGTCGTTATTGTTTACATTAAAAAGCCTTATTCAAAGATATTTTAATTACAACCGTTTATATTCCTTATTTGTGACTAACGTCAGGAAATCTACCCGTCTCAGCCTTTCATTAAAGTGCTCATCGGTGAACATGTTATATCGAATATTAATCATTAGACTTCAATACATCGGTTTTACCGATTTTCGTATTTGAAATTGCAACTCCTCTTGTATATATATATATGTGTATGTGCATTATATGAATCGATGTTACTTGCTGACTTCTTATCTATGCTATATCATTTAGAAATAGTCTCGATAATGATGAAAATATCTTTACATATATTTATTTGCAAATATCGAAAATTTCTCCAGTTTAGCAATTATATCTTCATCACTATCATTAGTGTATTTAACCCCAATAATAACGGAAGCAATCTATGATCATTTTAGCACTATATACATGTGACGTATATGACTAGATTACTGATTTATCGTTGAATGGAAATAAAGTACAAGATTTCAAATGATGAAATAGTAAGGATGTTAAGGATATAACACTACGGGTTTATTTCACACTCAGAAATCTTAATCTGAAATTGGCTTATAAAATTATTATAATCAGATCAATCGATCAAGGACAAATTGCTTCTTTCCGTCAACTTCCTGAAAAACTTGAGTTCTTACTAAATAGGCACAAAATTCTTAGTCATTGGTCTGTTTTGCTATGCCTGCGTAACCTTGTAAAACTACAAATTCACATTTCGAGCGTTTCAACGCCCATGAGCTTTAAAACTTGGCAAAAATTTTTAACAATTTCAATTTATAGTCATCAAACAAGTGAAACTGCATTTAGTAGTAAACGAAATAAGTCTGCTAAAGTTTAGTAGAGCTACAGATCAATTTGTATAAATACAACTTTAGTGGTTGCAACAAGTTAGTTAATATCATATTTCAAATAATAGCACCGTATACACTATACTTTGCTTGAACTTTGCTGTATTTTAATTATGCTCGTATAAAGAAACAGCGAATACAGCAATCCGATATATTAATGATCACTGTATTGATTTGACTATTTGAATCAGGCATAATATGCTGTAATACGTAAATGGATTCCGGTAGTAAAAGGAATTCTAAAAAGTCGCATTTATTTGTTCATGCTAATCAAGACAAATTCATGCAATTGGACCACAACGCTTAAGTAGATCAGGAAACGGGTAATGAAAGGCCATTTCCACGCGTAATGTGATTTGTAGTGACGTATTTTGTTGATGATGATTGATGAATAAAGTAAAAATTAAAAGCAATTGCTTCTACATCGGTAATAAATGCAAAATTATATGTGGTGTATTATGCGAATATTATTTTTCAGCAGCTGCACAATACTAGGAACAATTATACCGTACTGTATATATAAACCGCGTTAAGGTATTCATAATATAATAGCAATACAGTACTTTCAATTAACGAGTATAACGTGTAAGTGTCTTGCGTACTGTACTTCAGCAGTAATCAATAGTTCTGTTGTAGTAAATAATTAAAATGGCCGCGCGGATACGTATCACAATTAATTACTGTTTTCCTAAACTTTGCGTGGTACTGCAGTTTTGTATTATTTAGCTGCCTATGAACTGAGGTACAGTATCTCTGTCAGCAAAGTGGCAGGACATTAAGCTAGTATTTACCTAATAGCATTAACATATTGGGCAAATTTAGTAAAATTGTAGGATTAACACTTTTAATTTTTGAACAATCACGATTAAAAAGCATTACATATAAATGAAAGACAGGAATGTCAACAATTTATGTTAAGAAATGACTACCAATTATCCAGAACGTTACTTTTACTGGTTACCTGTAGGAATTTAAATTTATGATTACGAATAAAATTTATACCAACATACGTTGACAGCAATGCACGCCATTATAAATTCAATGGAACAGCGAATCCAAAGCTTGCGCAACTACTGCCCCTAGGAGGCAATCATAGTACTGTACGTGTATAAATAAGCATATTCTCTTAAAGCTTTGCATGAGTACTTGCTTCACGCATCGCATCTATAATAGTTTTAACGGGCCTATTGTGGTAACAGATTTCGTAAACAGCTGTAAAGATCGGAAAGCTAAAATAGCACCAAAAAAATACAGCCATATGAATACAACCATAGAAAATAAAATAATGATAGCTTTAGAATATTCTACGAATAGAAAGGATACTTACTCCTTTTCTAGGTTTTTTTCTTGTAAGAATTTATTCGCCTCCATTGCTGTTAATGGACCTTGCAAATACTGTCCTTTGAGCATTTCCTTTTCTAGTTCAGCAAGTGTCTATTATACAATATAGAATGATAGCGTGTTTTAAAGCCACTACTTTCAACTGCTTATATTCACAGTACTACACATTTAACCAATAAGTATCATGGGATACCTTGCCACTTGACACAAACGCTTCTGCAACTCTTTGATTTCTGCCCATACTGCAAGTGGTGATTAAATCAGCAATTCCACAACTTTCAAAGTAAGTCTCTAACCGAGCTTCGCCATAGAATTCGGTTATAAATCTTATCATTTCAATCAGTCCAAGGCGAATCATTGCAGCTCTGGTGTTGTCACTGTGGCTGCAATGAGGCAAGTAAATACTGTTTGTGTATTCAAATTTTGCACGAGCTTTTCATCAAATATTACAATTACATACCATAGACCCATCACGAATCCGGAAGCTACTGCAATAATATTCTATGATAGGAAGAAGAGTCGGCAATGTTAGATGGAAGTTAGTATGTGATTAATTTATTCTTAAGTAAAAAGAATATCACAAATCCTAACTTTAAGAGCGCCACACAATTCAACCGTTTGGGGATCAAGAACAATACTTGTGCGAAAGTAACTTGCAGTAAATAGTTCTTTCCAAACAGTTCCTATTTTGCGGTCTTTACAACCTACATGTAAGATAATGTGGGTGTGCATGCAGTTAAGACCAGTATTGGTATCAAGTTCCAATGCCATAATGAATTCGCAACAATGCTAAATAGTAGATGCAATGAATTTAATGAATTATAAACAAGCCAAGATAGAACTAACCAATAGTTGCTTCACAAAAGCTTTCATCAGCAACTTCCATTGCAATATTAGCACCCATAAGAACGCTCATCTCAATGTTTAATAGACGTGAGATGGCAGATGAGATAAGTTCAATCCCTCTTCCACGACAATCAAAACCCTGTATGAACATCACGAAGAATAGAGTTCAATCGCTTGAAATAGCCTCAGTAATCCTCAATTATACATTCGCTAATGCGACAGAAACGAACTAATTAAAGTCTTATTCTATCTACATTTCATGATTTTCTAATATGAACGAAATGGCATTAATAGGTTACTCGCAAAAACTGCATTATCTGTTCTTAGAATAAAGTATTCACGCGTAAATAAATATTAATGGTAAGTTTTCATCATCAAGCGGCCAACCTTAATGAGCGAGATACCGCAAGCATCCGACCTAAGGCTCCCTTTGATTTGGTTGCAAATTCCATCAACAAACTGTAATAGAATATAGAAAATGTGTTTAAACGATATAACTGTAGCTTGCAGTATATTTTAAGCTATTAATTTATGTTGTTTTGCGGACAATCGCATTGAATAACAGCATCGCTACGTAAAAACAATCCATCTACACCTAAATTATTTAGTTCCGTACTATGTCAATAAAACTGCTGTAATTGCCAAGCGCTAAGCATGAAAATGCACAAAGAATACTAGCACTTTATACAACGAAAGCCATGACCGCACTTCAACTGGAATGATATATTCATATTTAATATACATAAGTTTAACTTAGACTAGTATTGATACCTGATGAGGAACTACAAATATCAGAAGGTTAGAATTCCTTACGGCTTCCTTGATATCTGGTACAGCAACCTAATTTATTTAAGATACAGATCAAATGGAAAGTTGATCACTTTTTCCATGTTGAAGCACTATTTTTAGTCTTAAATCGAATGTCGAGCTCCTAAATATATCTAACTACGTCCAATACGATCTATATGGAGTTCGTCAAATAGTAACCTCGATAAAAATTTAACGGATCATTCGATCTATTTTCAGCAAGAAACATGCATCAATTTCTTATTACAAACGCATTGTTGCATAATGCTAATTCAGTAGGTCTACTTATTCATATTTTGCATAACATTAAAATAAGATAAATAGTGATACATCAATTCTTACTATATATAATCAATGGAGTTAATAAGGCTAGTCGACAACATTAGGCCATCATGACACTACTGTTCCTAATTTGTAACTAATCCATGGGTAATTAATGAGAATCAACATCATCGTAACGTCGATTAGTGCAATACGATGAAAGAAGAAAACAAACAATTGTGTTACAGAAACTGGATACATCTTCAAAATTAAGTACTAACGACAAGAAAACAGTTACTGAATTATCAAGAATGCATCCATTCTAAGGCAAAGAAACAAAGTTGAATGGAGAAAAGAAATAAGGTATCCTTACGATATTCTCTGGTAATTTGCGACCAGGTAGATATTTAACATTTTCATGTTCGGTATTGATAATTTCAGATAGTTTGCGTCCATCAACCATCTCTTCATAAACATACATATTGACGGAATTGTCAAATTTGTCAAATTTTGTGACTGTACTGCCGACAATGCGGGCTATAGCGGAACCCCTATATAGGAAGGAAGAAGTTTCACCAGTCAATACACGGTCACCATTTAACTGCAGCATTTGCAATTTTCTCTCTTGTAAATACAATATAGAGATCACCTTGGGCCTGACTCAGATCATTGGATAATCAATGACTTAAAATTACCCTACTCATCATTGTACAGCGTTCAAAAAGTAAGGGAAATTATTACCCTATCTACTTATCAAGGTGGAAGCAGTATACAGTGTTTATTTATTGACCGGATTCCGCTTCGAATGTAATTAAGCGAGCCTGTAATTCTATCAACGCAATCTAATTATAGAATATATTGAGTGGATTATTGTAACAATTCAAGTGCATCATAATGATGTAGCTTGTATTATTCTTATCTTAACATTGTCTAAAAGTCATTGAAATAAAAGCACACCGGGTATGCCGGGTACACAATATTTTTTTGCCGGTTGATAGTATTAATAAGCAAATTATAGTCTATCTATGATCATTCCGTCCTGTACAAACTTGCTGAACTTTAACTATAGCGATTCTGCCGCATATCAACTCTGATTAACGCATCTTATATAGGGATGCAACATCGTGAGACTACCGAAAAGGACATGGAAATCATTATCTGATTAGCCGCGATGCCGATTTAATCTGATGGAAAAAATCGACATCATCAGGCCAAATATAATCCATCATTGCACGAAATGATTAGGCTCGATTAATGTACTGTACGCCTAGAGATACGAGTTGCGTGCGTTGCAACGATAATCAAGTAGGAAAAATGATGAGATAACTGTAGCAGATCCTATTTAAAAAGCAAAAGAAAGTCGGAGAAAAAGAATGGCTCTGTTACAATGGACAATATTGATTATTTCATCTAGGAATCATCATCAGTGTCCTACAAGTACTGATGCATTGGTGATAACTATTTTATACCGCTGCTCGTTTTTCTCCCTTTCACAAAGTAGCCTGATTGAGAAATGTCTATCTCAACAAATACCGCAGATAATAATTCAAAGTTGATATCCAATTGAATTTTATACTGTACAGTAGACAAGGGTTATCATTGGTGTATAGAGAGGAAAAGAAATTATTCTTTTTCAATTAACAATATCATTGAACAAGAAATGATGACCAATATAGTACAATACTACTGTATGGATGATTATTCATGCTACGGCCATCCAGTTTGTCTCCATTGGGCAAAAGGTCTGACAAACGGACGTACAAATGAATACGGAAGATAATAATAAGAGCCGATGCCCAACTGAACTCATCATCATCAGTCTGTAAAGTAGTCAAAGAATTGTTGTCATTTTTTAATCGATAACCTTTGAAGAAGGAATTCAAGCCGACATGCTACAAGTATAGATCGTTGACAAGTTATTGAAGCTATAGCAACTACTTATTTCTCTCCCATGAAGATGTACGAGTCCAATAGAATGAGCCGTTGCTCTCGGGCATTGAATCCAAATTGTCAATCAGGTTTTGCAAAAGTAAAGTACAATCTAGTTTAATCACCCTATCCAACTGAACATTTCTCTATTCTAGCCCGTCTTATACAAGTACTGTACTGATGCACGCATGATTTTATAGAGGCAATTGGAAATTTCTCACTCTTAGACAACGGATATCACCATTGGATATACAAGTGCATCCAGCTGTTGAGCTATCGAATGCAAATGGTCAATCCAATTCAAGTAGACAACAATCCAGTTGGATCACTACGTCCAACTGAACTTTTCTCTCTTGTGATCAGTCTTGTAGAAGTCATGATCTACGAATCATTCTATTCAAGTTATGGGACGTTTCTCTTGCTTCTAACACGATGGAAGAATCCTACAAGCGCATCCTACCCCTCTCCATCATTGCCAATATCCATGCCAACGTCGCGCTTAGAATAGCAGATTGCAGTACGCCCTAGCACCTACAGTACTGTAACTCATCTCGCTTGGTTTATCGCTCCTTGCAAGCGAATTTTCCTCTACCCTAAACAAGTATTACATCATCGTTGATTGAAAGTGTAGACGATTAGCTCGACTTACCAATTGCCAGAACCCACAATACAAACTTTATATAAATTAGCCATAATAATGCAATGATATTGACTGATTCTTGATGGATGTGGATGGAATATGGATAGGAGAGCTTGTTGTTGTTTTCGTCGGTGCTGTGGTTCCCTCGGTAGGCCAGCAGCTGCAAGGTCCAGTAGGTGACACTTGGGGATGCGCTTGGCCCTTTAAGTACTGCCAGGGTACCGCTTGACAGCCCACAGGGGCAGATAAACAATGCGGTCGTGTGCCGTAGCCCTTGACCAAGGAAGGGGTCTCATGGTCTTGTTTAACGCCTATACTGTATCAGTATAAGAGGGTAAACCAGGGGCTAGGGGTGGTTATGCTGACCGGTGTCTCTCACCACCGGTGTTACCATGCTTTAGCGTGATGACGGTGGAAGCCCTGGATGAGGGTCACAGGTCAAAGTAGACTGGTCCATGTTGTACGATACTGTAGCATGGACGAAGCCTGAGTAGGTAGCAACTCACTGTTGACTAATTGGGGTATGGTACAGTCTACTGTCGGTGGGCTGACAGGGGGTGAGTCAGGGGTTAGACAGGGTTAGTCAGGGACTTGTGGGTAATGACAGTATAGTGGTACAGTATCAGCCGATTCCATAGTGTACAATGTGATTATTTTCGATGTCTCCTTTTCGTTCAAAAATTAAACTTGTAGTCCGTTGAAATTCCTGTATAGTATTTATCTCTACCCATAGAAGAATTATTAGGCTACAACCAAATATAGAATTCATCTAGTTTGGGCTTGATTTAGCTTATACAATTATATGTTTTCTGGGTGTCATCGAAAATAATCACACTGGTAGAGTATTAGTTTAAAAGACCCTCACGACATGGTCATGGCCGCGGGGATCGCCTTTGCTAAGCCCTGTTTTGCAATGACCGCTACCTTTTACAGCAGTCCAAGGTCTCATCGACTCGTTGTACAACTAGGTCTGTCGATTCTATGTCAACAACGATTCCACTCGAGATTTGAAAATAAACTACACAAACCTTGAGAGGTGTATTGAGGTGTCCATCATTGGACTTGGTATCTATGGAAACTGCCAATGAATGCATTCATTCCCCCAGGTGGACAACAACTATTTTGCTAACGACAACCTTGCATCAGCAAAGACGGATATCAGATAGCTGATGAAGAGGATGATACAGCTTCAATCTGCAATTTTAGCCGTATCTTCAAAATAACGATCATAGATCAACAGTAATAGCCGACTCCTACAATACACATTGGATTTTTACAGTATTCTAATATCGCTCTGATGTAGTATATTGCTCTATTCAAAGCATTTTAGTACAAAGTTCATGCATTTTCCATATGGATCGCAAGTAGAAAGAGATCAATACCCACAAGATACAATATTGAATCAGTTACTACGCACAACACATAGTAACAAGTCAAACAATAACTCTTCAGCATTATTCCATACTTTACCCGTCAAATCGGCTATTTTCAGTTCCGTTTGGATCACGCTATCTGCAAAAACAACCTCAAATAAATTAATAACGAATTACTACAGTATTGCATATCTAAATAAAGTAACACAGACATCCACATGAAAAATTAATTTTGTACGATATTAATGGACTTGATTGCAGCAACAATAGAGCAATAATGAACAAAAAATGAGACATCCTTTTTTTATTCAGCGGATGAAATAATAAATTACTTTATACGATACAAGATATCATATTAAATGATTAATTCATTATTTTAGTCCAAGGAAGTTGTAAATTAAAGCTCAAAATTTCACTATTGTAGCCTTTTTCCATATGGGTTGTTGCACTTTGGTTGAATTGACAGAGATGAATACAGGAAAGGATTCAAGACTTGTGTATGTCGCAATTTTGGACACATGTCATATTTACTGTGGATGATAACGCGACCAATATATTTACCATGAGTAAGGATAAATAAATGGAAATTGGTATAGAGGTGTAAACAGTATAAACATTTTCAAGAAGTGTTTTTGCATATTACAAGTAGCTCGATATTTTTATGGCCTCAATTTCCAACAAAGGACACTTTTCTAATTTTTCATTCACAAAATAATTTATAGATTGACAATCCCTTAACAAATATGTAAATCTAAAGTGAAAAGAATTCATAATAAGTTAGTTAATAAGGTAAATACTGTTATAGCCTATTGAAACTCTTGACAATGACTATCCTTAGGTAATATAATGCTATAGTGCTTATGTAGAGAAATAAGATCATCACTAAAATAATTAGGTGTAGGAGAACATTATTTAACAAATTCAATTAATTATTATACTATTAATTCTTTTCATTCATTTACTATCGGTCACAAACCAGCTTGGTGATAAAGATAACGTAAAATAAATCTCTAAATAACGATAGTCTCCGGGAGTCAGTATCCCTTAGCTATCTCACAAGAATTTAGACGCCTTTGCTTCTACGTTGAACAACTATAGAACTCTTATTTTATTCAACTATCTGCCGAGCTTAAATACCCTTCGGTAGCTGCTATCATGTATGAGCCGTAACTGTTCATCAAATTCAGTTCATATTGGATAGCTAAATTAATACAGAAATTATTCATAATCTTAGACATGTACAGAACGATTCTAGATGATTAGATTACAGTATGGTCATACACAGAATTATTTATAATATCATCTATAATTGAATATCTTTAGGATATTCATCACAAGTGTTACAAGACATAACACTATAATCAATTAACATTAGTTACCGTATAAGAACTTTTACTACAGCACAGCATAATTTACTGTGTCAAAATAATAACTACTGTAGTTCTTACTGTAAGCCATTATTAGTTATCTCCATATATAAATGTTAACTACTAAATTTAGTCATTTACTCTTCACGGCGGTTCGTACCGCGACATTATCATCTCATTGCCTTTTTTTATTATCATGCACTTAGACTAGGTTTCAAGTATATTGCCACATACTGTAGATATCTCCAGAGAATGAATAAACAAATAAAATTACGGAACATTGTTTGAATAAGTTATTCCACGCAAAATGAGGCTTATTCATATTTATTCATACTCGATCATTATGTCGCAACCAATCTTATGCCTGCTCCATCTCAAAACACACCCAGGAGGGTTGGTTATAAATTGTTAGCTTCTAATAAGACTTTACATCTCAATGAATTATACATTGCCTTATCCTAATAAATACTGTAGGTAACAGTCCGCATAGATGACTTAAGATTAAATGTTGTACGAATATTTTCAGGGTATCTTAATAACATTAAGGTTCTAAAGGGTACTTTATCGTATTGTCCTTTACAAGAAAAAACATGTGACACCAGCATCAAGCAATATACACATCTTTCATTATCAATCGATACGTCCGCAAAATTTTTTTTCCCACGCTGCTAATATAGCTTAAAAGCACCTACTCCAAGTGCGAAATCGGATTACATTTGCTGTTGTCACTCTATCAGAATAGTACTGATACCATAAAAATTATTCCTGTGATATCAAATACTTCTTTTTGGGAGGAATAGTGTATCTCTCAAAGGTTGTAGTCGGTAATATAACATCATGAGTTAAAATCTGACAAATTGTTTTTGAATATAGGTTAGATATGAATAGAATCGATTATATTATAGAAGGGTAAAAATATTAGAATAATCAAGTATTTTTTTATCAATAATTCATTATCAAGAGTAACATTATATCGCAATTAATTAATGAATTAATAATTTAAACGAGTCGTCCGATCGAATTCTCTATTGACGAAGGGTGTGACCACTATTTTGGGATCTTCTATTTCTTGCTGATGCGGAAAGCGCTATGTATTTGTGATACAGCATATTCATTTGGTTATAGGGCTAGAAGGAATTTAAAGAAACATCTTTTACACTAATGCAAAGCAGTATAAGAATAGAAGCTTTCTTTTATTATATATATATTTATATATTACATACCTCTAAAAACGTTTGAATTTGATAAATGAATAATACAAGTATAGCTAAAATCATATAACAGGTCCGGTTGTATTGTGGTTCAATTTCTACTATAGAATTAAAAAAGAACCAACAATCAGATATAATAGGTTATATTGATCTGTTCTGTTAATGAATATATAACAGTGATAATCGTTGACAATAGCTATTCATAACAACTATTCAATTCCGTTTAATCAGCTTACCATCAGGCTTAGGATATAATGAAGGATTTTCGCTCGATGATTTGTTTGAAAATATACGAAAAAATTCATAACCCAGTTTACTAGTGATTCTATCAATATTTAACCGAACAGTATCGGTTAACTTTCCAGCAGTATCTGGTAACCCTTTCTTTAATAGCAATTTTAAGGATTCCTGCATTGCAATGAACTGACTGCGCAATGGTGATGGTTGTAACTTGGTAATTAAATCAGATATATGGCTACCCAACCTATAACAACCGGAAACCATGTAATTAAAAATAGAACTATATTTAGACCGTACAATCCTCTATTTATAACTAGTACTATAATATTGCCGTATGATAGAAAGCTGTTAATATATATCTAAATTAATTAACACTAATCTAAATTTATCTCCATACATTCATGAAAGTTCATTGTCAAGACTACAAGATAGTGTTGATGAAAGCATTATCAATGAAACAGTTCATAGTATTTTTACATCATAAAGAATTTATCTTCATCCTAATAATAAGTTCATACCTCCCCGCCAATCCTACATTTAGCCTTTGATCCTTACTATTATAAAATCCCTGAACTAAAATTCTTACTACGATCTTATCCTGCCTATAATAGAAAAAAAATTGAATACATTAGCAACCGCGTCATTTAGAATTTATACTTTAAATGATAAAGTTATTGCAATATTAGAATTGTAAAGTCGCAACTAGCCGATCAAGGTTATTATCGTCTGCATTACTGTTATTACAAAGCTGAGTTTGTTGCCATTAATAGAGTAATGTGAATCGCAGTTGCATTGTAAGTACTTTATTTTTGCATCTATGTTGATCAGTTACACAGGTAGTAAATGAATATTCCACTTTTAATTGAGAAATTTTCAAGACATTCTAATTTCTTGATATAGATATAGGATAAATTTCCCGTTAGGTTAAGGATCGATCGTAAATCAGGAACGAGTATAAATAACAATGTAACTAAAATACAGACGTATATGAAATATGGCCATTTTGCATACAATTGAGATCATTTTGAATCGTTTCTCACACTTACCTAAAAATGTAAATGACATGACGAGAAATGGCTTTAATTTCGTCAGTTAATAGAGATTGTCGATGTTCATCTGGATCATTTTTTGCGACCAAATAATCCCACGAAAATGCCTTGTGTTCATCACCAACTTTCGGGGCATTTGATGTTTCATTGTTATACAATAGCATGGGCAATAATTCGTAACTATAATTCCCCCAGCAACTTGCATAATACTGTTTTGCGGCACTGGCGTTAACAAAGGACTTGTATACCGAATCAATTTTACTAACGTAGCGATTTTCTTTTTCTGTCTCAGCATTACTTTCCCATGCTGCTTGTGCACATTGCTGGCCGTCCAATTTTGCAAATAGATCATCCTTTTCCATGCCATAATTTTCACATGAAACTGGATTTAATCTGGTACGACGTCTAAGTTTAGGTCGTAGTCCTTGACCAGGAGGAAAATACTTTTGAGTTAAAAACATTTCCGATAATGGTGTTACCTCCACGTCTATATATATAATCATGGCTACCAATACTGAGCATACAGCAATAGCTATTCCTACAATGATCCATCGTAGGCCAGGTATAGGTAGCTTCGTGGAAGCTGTAGACGTTGCAGGTCTCCTTTTCGCCATGAAAATTTCTAGAAATTTTCTATTTAATCAATACGTCGATGGTGGTTATTTCAGTGCAGTACGTATACTTGGGAACCTTAACACGTCAAAAATTGCAATATTAGAGTTTATAGGTTGCTATCGTATTATTGAAAATGTTACCATTCGACTCTGGAATGCCTACTTGTGTGTAATTATTAGCAATATATTTTTTATGTCTGTGGATATAACAAATAATGAGATTACTAGTTACTCTTCATAACCTTCGATTGTCAATTCACGGCATGAATGTGAAATTGATACTCATATATGAATGCACGTAATCATAATGTAGACTTTTATTATAGAACCTTTTCTCTAAACTCGTACCGCAAACGCTGCCTAGCGTATGCAACAATGTGAGAAGGGTATGAATTAAGTTTCAAAAATGCGTATACACTGAACTGGGATCAGGTGCATTAGACGGACCTAGAATATTCAAAACTATATCATGTACTGCTGATGGGAACATTGTCGAATTGACAGTTAGTCGACTTTAGGCTATCCTAGTATCTAATATGTATAAACTTTGACAAAATAATTACTTTTAAATGCGTTTGAGATCAACGGTTTCATGTATGGTTACAATGAATGAATACACTGCAATCTTACAGTAACCTATCATAATAAACAAACGTTTACTGCAGTAAGACTTCACTTGCATTCTACAAGCATAGGTAGAAATTTTTTATAAGCAATACACGTAAGAAAGACCTCGCTACAACGTTGAAAATGGATGATTGATCTATGATGCTCTATGACATTCATTCATCCTGCTGCAATCGTGCAGTATGAGTCAATGGATTATTTTAACGTTGTCGTCAGTATGGTAGTATATCACATAATGTAGCATATATATAGCCTATGGTATTGGTCAACAGGAATATATCTAGACCTGACATATATCCCTTCCATTTGAAAGATACCTTGTCACTATTTTTGAAATTAACTTTATTCACATTGAACTTGGGCCTCATCACTTACTTGGAAGCTCTTTTTTTACTGCAATTTTGTAGAAAGCAAGAGGCAAAATACAGTAGGTAGTATTCCAGAAAAGGACGATCCAACCGTTGTTCATTAATATGATATCATTTACTTCCCAATTACAAAATGGAAATGGACATATTGGATGGATGTAAGGTTGGAATTCAATCTTGTTCAACTCTTTTCAATCCCTTAAGCCTGGTATGAATGATGGCAACGAAAAGATGAAAATGGACAGTAGACAAGGTGATTCTTTGTTCCAAGGCAACGGTAACAAAAGTTACGATTTGAGGTGCATCATCTTTTAATCATTGGTAGTGTCTTGCCTGTCGTAATTAATTATTCCTTCAACCTATAAAGTCATATTGAACGCTTGTATGGCAATCTATTATGGCTAATATCGATTCTGTATTTATTCGAATTCAGTTACACGATCATTTTCAGAAGCTTGTTGGAAAATTTCCAGTTGGTTTTAGCCTGAAAGTTGGAGAATTTCTTTCACCACTGGAATCAACTTAACACGTACAGTATAGCACTGGACGATACTTCCCATTTCAGTATATAGTACTGTACCATCCCAGCCAACTCCGGTACGGTACAGTACCGTACAATGTACAGTGAATCGTTTGCAGTATATAGTATGTATGTACTGTACTGTATACTGTAGTACAGCGTGGAGTGTACAGTGAATCGCTTGCAGTATACTGTACTGTATAGTACAGTACACTGTATTGTGAAGCATGTACTGTACTGTACTGTACAGTAGTACAGTACTGTACAGTGCAGTGTGGAGAGTACAGTGAATCGTTTACAGTATATAGTATTGTAAAATATGTATTGTAGCTTTAATTTGTAGCCAACAGCGTACAGTACAGTACAGTGTACAGTGAATCGCTTGCAGTATATAGTATTGTAAAGTATGTACTGTACAAAGAAGTCCCTCGACAATGGGTATCCACTATACTGTACAGTGTATAGTATCCATTCACCATGAGTCAGTAAGTATACAGTATACAGTATCAGCTTGGAGAGTGGATTGCAAAATAATAATAATAATAATAACATCATTCGGATCTTCATTGTTAGTTGTTGAACAACACAGTCTACGATGCATATTGTGCGCTCCAAAGTATTGGCATAATCGATGAGTTACGGGAGATTGGTAGCACTTGTTCATCTCTATCTTGTTATAGACGTACAAGCGAAAAAAAAAAAAAGTGCTACCCATGCCATATAATGTCTTTACCGTATTAGTACAACAACGAGTATTTCTTGTATAATTTCACCTTATCGCATAAACTTGGATCTTCTAATAATACCATAAACTATCTATCTTGAATCGACCATGAACTAACGGATGACTGCATAATCGATCCATTTATTATTCTGAACGAGGTTGACAACTAGTCGTGATACTTGACGTTGTATACTTGACTTTCCACAGCAATTTAAAAATTTTCAGTTCCGTTAGCCTCCAAAGCACATTTGGGGAAACCAATACAACTTTTTAACGAACTCCCTGCGATATTATAATATATTGTATCTATTTTCGTGCTATCTTATCATTACAATCATGAGCTAACTTATGGCTGCACTACAGGAAGGATTGCCGGTGGATAGCGTCATAGATAAATTCATATTATTAACCCATTCCTAGATAAGCAAACCTTCTAAAGGAAACTATGTTACGACAGCATGCAACAGTTACTCTTTAACAATTCCATCTACGGTTATGCTAATAATATTGAATGATTATTATGATTATTATAATTAATTGTTCTCCTTAGTTGTCGTATGCAAAGCATCCAGCGTAGAGGTAAGGGGAAATACCTTTATCTGGATGGTATCTGTATACTCTACTGGTAAGAATATTGGTGCAGTTTACTCAAGCACAGTATCACAAATGGAACTTACCAATTGTGCTACTTAGCTGTCGTATTCAAAGTATCCAGCATTGCGATGAGGGAAAATACCTTACCTCTATGGTGCCTAGATACTCTACTAGCGAGTACACTGGTACAGAATACTCAAGTACAACGCTACACCAGCAACTAATGAAAGAAGCAACATGCAAAAATAATAATTGCCTTCTTTCTTTGTGTCCCTTTAATTTCTACAGAAAATGATCTATCTGTACATTCCATACAGCTATAGCGATGGTAAAATAGTTTGGATAATGATAGAGGAGAAATAGAATTTTAATTGATGAATTGTTGCCTATGTAGGTCGATAAAATCGAAATAAATTAAAGTAAGCCAAAAGACTTTTCTTATGCACAACAGAATACTGTATGCAGTACATGGCCGTTTTATGTATCCTATGTACAATTATTGTACAGTTGTTTTGCCAAAGTATTGCACCCCCCCCCCCCAACCAAAAAATGGAGTAAAACTGGTTAGAAGGTAAGACGTAGTCGTCCTTTCCTAATTTAGACACTGTAAACTAGACCTAAGTTGGCTTATGCTGTAAATTAGATCCAATAGATACGGCTTACGTAAGATCTGTTCTAGTCTTCCTTTCTAGAAAATTTCAAATAGTCCGTGTGGACTAGATCCTCTTTCCAAATTTATCTGTGTACCTGTCACTATCACGGGCTACTTATGAGCAATTATTTACTCTCCTCCCCCCCCCCCCCCCTGCTGCAGTCATATACTGAAAGTATTGACTGCTTAATAATTAATTAATTTTTGTAGTCCCTATGGTAGTGGTAGTATACCGTATGCCGCGTTTGTAGTTAGTGCCCAGCATCTGCAGATGGACTTAAAAACTTCATCTACGAATAAATAAATAAACTATAAAGTGCTTATAATGATTCACACCTACGTCAAAATTTCATCGTTCTATATTGACGGCAGGTTTAGGCTATATTTACTTACATTATTTGCAGTTTACTGTCATTAACTATAGGAGAAATAGTGTCGCAGTTGTTCGTCATTTCCGACAAATGATCGATTCGACCATGTACGCATAAATTCAACTATCAATGCAACTGCAGTCTGATTCAGTTGTAAGGATACTCTCTGAAAAATGATCTAATTCATCAATGTTTACTAACAGAAAGTACCATTACATGAAGAAGAAGGTATTAATGCATGGAAGTTGTTTAGTGTAACCGTGCGCCAGCAAAACACTGGAAAGATATATAAAGGGTCACGGCCCAAACACATACAGAGTTTTTTTACAGTTGATCTAGTTAGTGATCTGAGCTGATAAATAATAAAGTAACTCTAAACGCTATCAAATAGTCTGTCACTGTGATTAAGAAAGTTAGTCTTAGTCTGTACTATTCATCAAGAGTTAGTTTGAAGAATAGTCGGTGACAGTAAGTAGGTTAGTAGTTGCTAGCCTTGATAGTACAAGTGTCGCAGAGGAGATTTGTGACAATGGTATTTCCAATCAATTTCCTAAAACGATGTTTATAGTTCTTCCATACTAAATAAATAAACTAACAATCCAAATTCTATATTGTTGTTGCGAGCCAACGTTTTACGTACTGTATTAATACCGGAGCAGTCTTATCAGGATATAATTTAAATTGCAATTGGTACACGAGCTGGTCCTAAGCGAACAATTTATCAGTAAGCCAAATTTGTTAATAATCAAGAATTAAACAAAGTCAAATGAAGATAGAATTACGCCAATTCTTTTTAATAAACCGTCCTAAATTGCCAACCTATATCGAAACTGAATACGATGGCGGATTAACGGATGAAATATCGGATGACATCTCTAACTAGATGAAAGTTACTTCATGTAGCAGAATCCAGGCAAACAATGTTTTAGCTTAAATGTTTCAAGTTTAAATTATTGAGACTTACCTATGCCGGGTATCTTGTAGCATTATCTAAAAAGTACTGCAGTCACTAAGCAGGATAGATATTATTAAGGTAATTCCACGTTTATTTCATTATTATACATTAATAGCAAAATGGCTGCAACCTCTGTCTAATATATTCTTATGCGTAATTGAAGACCAGCAGGTCCAGAATTTCAAACTG